AGTAACTATCCTCCTGTCTGAAGGGTCTGGGTTAACTTTTCCACCAAAATATTCCAAAGTAAATAATGATCAATCTAACCAATAAACATTCAACATACTGTAAATGCCTTTTCAAATTTGCATAAGGTATACTGGATTCTCTCTGAACATACTTCATTTTACACCTATGTTCAAACACAGCAACATTCAAGTTGCTGCCATTTAAAAATCATGCTTGAGGGGCACCTGGGTGGCTCAGTCGGTTCAGTGTCTGACTTCAGCTCAGGTCACTATCTCATGGTTTTTGAGTTCGAGCCCCATATCAGGTTCTGTGCTGGCAACCAGACCCTGAAGGCTGCTTTGATTTCTCTGTCTTCCTCTCTGTCTGCCCCTCCACTGCTTGTGCTCTGTCTCTCTCTCTTAAAATTAAAAAAAAAAAAAAAATCATGTTCGAGGGGCACCCAGGTGGCTCTGTCAGTTAAGCGTCTGACTTTGACTCAGATCATGATCTTGCACTTCATGAGTTTGAGCCCCACATTCGTCTCGTTGCTGTCAGCCTGTCAGTGCAGAGCCTGCTTCTGATCCTAACTATGTCATCCTAGGGGTTTGAGAAGAAAGCTAATTAATGTATATTAGTTGTTGATAATACTTCAAGCAGTAAAATGACACCTGAAAAATGACCTAGCCACTTATTTATTCACAAAAGTTATTACGAGCTGATACTAATTTAAAGAATCAAAGAAATTCATACTCCTGTTCTAAAGTAGGTCAAGCCACACCTTGGTCTAGATCAGAAAAGAGCAATGATAATTCGTAAATTTATATCTATTTTATCTGATTCATCCCTGTAAAATGTCTAATGTAAGTATACTAGGATGTTAAGTGTGTGCCAGATACCTGATATTTTTGTTTATTTAATAACAAACATTTAAATCACAACATATGAAGTGGTAAAAGAGACTCAAAAGATTTTTTTCAAATGATTTTTTGATTGGATATAGGGGGGTGAAGTGGTTAAGGACACAAATTTTGAAGCCAGATAGACCTTGGTTTTGAATCCAGGTTGTCATTTAGTAAGCAGGTTTAAAAAAGCAATCTCACTTGTTCCAGCCAGAATTTCCTTGTCTGTGCAGTGGTGATAGTATGAACTACATCATAGGATTATTTCAGAGTTACACTTAAATCTTTAACAAAATAGCTGACATTTCTGTGTATGTGTCTTGGCTTCTGCACTCAAGGAACTAACACATTAGAGGAGGAAATTCAATAGGCCATGAAAAACTGCCTACATAAGGCAGCATGTTATAAATAATATTTGATAGTTAAATTTTAACTATTATTATTGAAAGGTTATCAGGGGCTCAAAGATTCCGCAGGAGGCTAGGAACAGGCTTAGAGAAAAAGCAGAAGCCCAAAGAACTGCAGGAGGCACAACCATCTTTTGCCAAGGATAGTCTGAATGGATATTGCTACCTTAGGATACCAGGCAGGAATGAATTCTGACCATGTCTGGGGACACGGTCTCCCTCCAATAAAACCGCCCATAATGGAAAGACCTACTGCATTAAATAAAGAAAGTGTCACTGGAGGTAGGACAGCCAGAAAGGAAAACAAAACAAAACAAAATGTCCATCTTTAATACTAGCAGGCATTGTACTGAACAATACCAGTCATTGAGGGCTCTAGGTAGAGTGTCTCATAAATCTTCAAAACCATTATATGAGGAAAATAGTCTCATTACTACATCTGTTTTATAGAGAAACCAAGTCTCAGAGAGGTTAATTTGCCTAAGGTCACACAACCAGCAAGTGCTAAAAAAGAAATTCAAATCCAGAAAGTTTGATTCTACAGGCTAAATGTAGAGCTACTAGTCCCTCCAAGAGAAGGGGAAAACCCCATATCTGGCTAGATCAGGAAGACATTATCAAGGAGTACTTTTGAGCTGAATAGACCATCTATTCATCCATCCATCTATCCATCCATCCATCCAGGTATTTAGTATTTTACCTACCAAAAGAAATAGGTAGATAAAAATTTTTTACACAAGTACTAAAAATTTATTGGAAGAAAAATAGAAAATACAGTTAAGGAAAAGGTAGAAAATGAAAATGTCCACATTTTTGCAACCAAAGGATAACCAAGAGTAATATTTTGGTGATTAGTATTCTTCATTAAATATCTATGTGCATTTTTCCTTACAAAATTAGAACCATATTATTTCAGTAACTCGCTTTTTTCACCCAACAATATATAGTGAATATCTTCTTAGGTCCATAAGAACACCTTTTCTTTTTTTTATCTGTAATTTATTTATTTATTTATTTATTTTACAAATAGTTTATTGTCAAATTAGTTTCCACATAACACTCAGTGCTCATCCCCACAAGTGTCCTCCTCCATGCCCATCCCCCTTCCCCCCACATCCATCAGTCCTCAGTTTTTGTCAGCATTCAAGAGTCTCTCATGGTTTGCCTCTCTCCCTTTCCCCCACCATTTCCGCCCTTCTTCTCCCCCTTGTTCCTCCGTCAAGTTCCTCCTAATCCTCCTATACGTGCAAACATATGATATTTGTCCTTCTCTGCCTGACTTATTTCGCTCAGCATAACACCCTCAAGGTCCATCCACGTTGCTACACATGGCCAGATTTCATTGTTTCTCATTGCCATGTAGTATTCCATGGTATAGATAAACCACATCTTCTTGATCCATTCATCTGTTGATGGACACTTAGGCTCTTTCCATGTTTTAGCTATTGTTGAGAGTGCTGCTATGAACATTGGGGTACATGTGCTCCTATGCCTCAGCATTTCTGTATCCCTTGGGTAAATTCCTAGCAGTGCTATTGCTGGGTCCTAGGGGAGTTCTATTGTTAGTTTCCTGAGGAACCTCCACACTGTTTTCCAGAGGGGCTGTACCAGTTTACATTCCCACCAACAGTGTAGGAGGGTGCCCGTTTCTCCACATCCTCGCCAGCATCTAGAGTTCTCTGATTTGCTCATTTTAGCCACTCTGACTGGCGTGAGGTGGTATCTCAGTGTAGTTTTGATTTGTATTTCCCTGATGAGGAGGGATGCTGAGCATCGTTTCATGTGTCTGTGGGCCATCTGGATGTCCCATAAGAACACCTTTTCAAGAGGTGCCTATGTGGCTCAGTCAGTTAAGTGTCCTACTTCGGCTCAGGTCATGATCTCATGGTTCGTGGGTTTGAGCCCCGCGTCGGGCTCTGTGCTGGCAGCTAGCTCAGAGCCTGGAGACTGTTTTGCATTCTGTGTCTCCCTCTCTCCCTGACCCTCCCCTGTTCATGCTGTCTCTCTCTCTCTCAGAAATAAATTAAAAAAAAAAACATTAAAAAAAAAAAGAACACCTTTTCAATAGTGGCTCTTAACTTGTATGGTCTTAGACACTACAACTGGCGACTCCAGGGGTGCCTGGGTGGCTCAGTTGGTTACATGTCTGACTTTTGATTTTCACTCAGGTCATGATCTCATGGTTTCGTGGGTTTGAGCCCCACATCTGCACTGGTGGCGGAAGCCTGCTGGGATTCTCTGTCTCCCCCTCTCTGGTCCTCCTGAACTAGCACTCTCTCTCAAAATAAATAAAAACTTAAAAAAATAAAAAATTCAGGATTCCAAAGATCTTCTGTTTATGTAGGTTTTATCTATTGATATTTTTTTTAAATATTTTTTATGTCTTTATTTTGAGAGACAGAGACAGAGAACAAGCAGGGGAGGGGCAGAGTGAGAGAGAGACACATGATCTGAAGCAGACTCCAGACTCTGAGCTGTCAGCACAGAGCCCCGACGTGGGGCTTGAACCCATGCCTCTATTGATATTTTCTGTATTAGAAACTAAAACTGGGAGTGCCTGGCTGGCTCAACTGGTAAAGCACACGACTCTTAATCTCAGGGTCATGGGTTCAAGCCCCACGTTGGGAGTGGAGCCCACTTAAAACAACAAAACAAACAAAAACTAAGAAATATTTTAAATTAACCGCGAGATCATGACCGAAGCGAAAGTCGGATGCTTAACCGACTAAGCCACCCAGGCGCCACTGAAAATTTCTTTAATAAAGGACAGCTTGGGGGCATCTGACTTAAGCTCAGGTCATGAACTCTCGGTTTGTGAGTTCATGTCCCATGTTGGGCTTTGTGCTGACAGCTCAGAGCTTGGGGCCTCCTTCGGATTCTGCATATCCCTCACTCTCTGCCCCTCCCCTACTTGCTCTCCATCTCTGTATCTCAAAAATAAAGACATTAAAAAAAAAAAGGTTAGCTTGATTCTCATAGCTTCTACTGTGTTCAATCTATTGTGATACATTGTTTTGGTTGAAGTATATGAAAAACAATCTGGCTTCACACAGATGCATAGTTGGAAAGGGGAAGAGTATTTCAACGGCATTTTCATGTAAGTTGATATTCTTTGAGACCACAGTAGAACTGGGAAAATGGTAAAATTTTAAAAAACAATTCAATGTGTAATCTAAAACCATATCAATTAAATTTCTGTACTCTGTAACATTAAAGTCTATTGGTCGATTTAGCAATGCGAATGGATCTTTCACCCATTCTTTATAATACCCTGTTTGTTATTTATAAGATATTGGTTCAATGAGTCATATGGATCTTCCAAATGTCAATATATTCCATTATACATTGTAAAAAAAAAAATCACACAAGTTAGTATTACCAATTTCATTGGGACTTTGTCAAACTCACAGTGGGAGATATGTATGCCACAGCATATTCCTTGGAAATCTCTAATAGTAAAACGGACAACAAAAATTGCTAATTGTTTTCCTTGAAGAGAAAGGCTTACTTGTTCATATTTGAGAAAATGCCTGCCAAATACTAAGTACCTGGATACCTGTTACTTGTTAAGTTAATGTGATATTCCATGTAAAAAATGGCTGGTTCACTTAGCAACTCAAGAGCTTCTCCTCAAGTCAACTATCATACTTTTGAACACAACAAAAAAGGTTTATGTGGGCTTCCCATTTCCTCATACAGAACACTTATAAGGACTGACATTTAATAACATTTTTACTGCTCCATCAAAGACAATGGGAAACAGGTTCTCTCCCGCTTTTTTTTCACTGCAAGAGCATGGTAGTCAAGAAATTACTTCTAGATCACTTTGGTGACTTGCTGAGTTTGGTGCTGATGCTTTTTATTTTGTGCTAAGAGGCCAGCAGTTTCACCCACCATTGCTTCTGCATCAGTTGGTACAAATATCACAGGGCCTAAAAATAAATAAATAAATAAAAGCACATAACTTCTTTGTTATTACTATAAAAGTTTTCATCCCACAAACTTCCTATATTTGGGAAACTCTCAAGGAGTCAGTGTACCACACTTTGGGAATTAATGTTCTACAACATTTTTAATGACTGCAGGGAATTACATTGTATGAGTGACCAAATTTAGCCAATGTCCTTTATTAAGAGCACCTGAGTTGTTTCTGATTTTTCTCCATTACCAGTAATGATGCAGTTTCAACTTCACTTGCATCCTGAATTATATCTTTAGGATACAGCCTTAAAAATGGATTAACTAGGCCAAAGAGTGTACCTTTCAGAAACACTGGCTTCTGGATATTGCATTCTGTAGGTTTACCAGTACACCTGCATTTTATGTAACGAGTATCCTTCCAGCTAACCAACATGGTGGTTACTTTTAAGAAAAAACAGAAACTGACCAAATTTATATCCAATAAACGGAATCCCATTTTGTTTAATTAGCATTTATCTGCTTGTTAGGGTTTTCTCATGTTTATAAAAAATTAGTGAGTTGCATATTTATGTATTTTGCCCATTTTTGTATTGAAATAGTCTTCTTTGGGATTTTACTAGTTTATCTGCCATGAATGTTGTAGACATTTCCTCTCAATTTTTGTTTACTTTTTTACTTTGCATAGTTTATTTTTATACATAAGTTTTAATTTTTGATTAAATTACCTATCAGTCTTTTTATATTTTCTGCTTTTGGTGTCATGCTTTAAGAGGCCTCCTCTGTCCCTATATTGTACAAATATTTACTTTCTTTAGTAGTTAACTTTATTAAGAATTATTTTGATACATATGATGAGGTAAAGATATGATTTAATCTTTTCCCCAATAGTTAGCTTTTAATTCCAGCATGTTAGCTTTATCATTATTTTTTTCTGTTAAAAACATATCATTAAATTTGTAAACAATTTAAAACAATACAGATGAAGCTAAAGTAGCTCTTGACCGAGTTCTTATCCTCAGAGCTATTATTAGTTGTTCCTTTCATGCTTTTTCCCTTTGCATTTAAATGCACATAAGCACAAATATATAGTTTTCAGCAACTTGGGGTTCCCCCCCACTTCACTTAACTCGTACCGTCCCACGAAGATATACCTTGTTCTTTTTAACACCATTGCATGGTGTTCTATAACGCGGATGACCACGTTTATTTTGTCCGCCCACCACAGACGCACGACTACAAGGTTTCAATTTTTCCTTGTTTCTTCACCCAGCTCCCCAAGGCGGATGCAGCTCGAGCTTTCTTGTGCGCATGTGCAAATGTCCATGGGGTACATTCCTAAACATGGAATAGCTTTGAGTGCTTTCTCATTTTGTGGGTTCTAGGGATCCACTGTGGGTACGTAAGAAGACAAACACACTCAGACCAAAAACGTGGATAGAAAGAGATCTAAAACAGGTTCTCACTGCCCCTCTCCCAGTTTTTTTACTTTCAAAATGGACGCTGGATTTATTTTTTACCTCGCAGACGCAACAATTCCCTCCATCAGAACCAAATGCGCAACTATTCAGGCACCAGGCCCTCCGACTAAGAAACTAGGGAAGGAAAACCTCCAGCCGTAAAGTCCGTGACGCTTGCTTCCGGGAAGCGAACCGGAAGCCACTCCTCCATTCTGCGTCAAACCCGACTTCAGGGGCCGTCGTAAAAGTGTCGCCCGCCCAGTGTTTCTTGGGCCGGCCACAGGTTTCCTCTCGTCTCCGGCCGGGGGTCTGGAACTGCGGGTGTCAGTTTCCCTCAAGATGGCGGACGAGGAGGCCGGGGGTGCGGAGAGGATGGAAGTCAGTACGGAGTTGCCGCAGACCCCTCAGCTACTGGCATCTGTAAGTCCTTGTAGGCAAGTTCCTTTTGTCCCCTCCAGTCTCTCCATACCGCGCTCAGGAGGCTGTCGGGCTTCACCCTTTATGGCGGCTCAGGGGAGGGGTAGTCGTATGGATTGATCTGGAAGGAAGCCATCGAATAAAAGTTAGTCATTACCCACATTCCTGCCGGCCAAGTCTACGGAATAGAATGATTTTGTCATTTATTAGTCGTGACGATTTCAAGCATGTCTCTATCCTGAAGTAGAGTTAACTGGTGATGTTATCAGATGGTCAGGTATGGGGGCTAAGACTGGATTGGAGGAAAAGCCGTTTGCCGATAGACGCAGTGCCAACCTCTCTTGATGACAGGAATCCAGGACGCTGCACTTAATGTTATATTGCATAGCTGGTTGGGTGGTGCCTGGTAGTGGCAGGGAATGCTGTCAACTCGTGTCAAGATATGGGGTGTAGGAATTGTAGTCCCTCATTCTAGTATCTGGAGAACCCCAGGCCTAACCCTCATTGGAAGAACCCGTCATCTGTTCTTTCTAAAGGTGAAGAAGAAACTTCCGGACGTTTCAATTCAGAGCATACCACCAATTAATATCGCAGTCTATATTTTGCCCTTGTATTTTTAAAGAATGGGAGTGTAGAGACAGTGAGCAAGTTTGAGTTAATAGTCTGGCTCCAGGGGGAAAGCAGATGAGGAGGATAGGAGATAGATGACAATATTAGGGAGTATTCTGGATGTCTCCGAACATCTAGTGGGGAGATAGACAGGAAATAACCAAATATTGATCGCTGCCTGATGTTAAGAGTTTTATCACTTTGTCTTTATTGCTGCACATAGAAAAGTGTAGGCTATATACCTCTTTCTAAAGTTCTTTGGTTTGTAGTTTTAATAAAAGCATTTTTGGACTGTTTTAATCATGCAGACACTTAAGCGTGGCTGTTTGAGAGAATTACGTGAGCTCCAGAAGAGTCCACCTGAAGGACTGGAGCGACTGGCTGGGAGATAGAGACCAGGTAGGGAGGGAGTTGGAATAAGAGTTTGGCCACCAACTAGAGCAGTGCTTGCAACTGTCCTCCACCTCAAATAGCAGTTCAACCTCACTTCACTGCTGGTGTTGAAGTGACATGGTAAGAAATGAGAAGGTAGGGCAAACTGAGAAGCAGCTGAAACATCTGGTTTTAATGGTAGCTTGTGCTTTTTTACATCCTAGAAGGAGTACAGAAACTGTGTGAACAGAAGTGTTACTGTAATTCTGTATTGCCTAATTTATTTAAAACTTTGATAAATTAATTCCTTCCAGGTGGTATAATAAAACCTCTTCAATCTAGACTCCACTTATTTGTAATTAGAGATTAGTACAGGAATCAAGCTAGAATTATGCTGCAAACTCTTTACTTCAAGAAATACTAGATTTCTTGGGGGCAAGGCTTTGAGTTTTGCAAAGCAATAGGTAGATGCCAAGACAAGTGTTATAGCCTGAGAGAACTCACAGTTTAGTGACACAGATCAGACCAGTGCTCAAAGAATTTTAATACAAGACAGGATGATGTAAGACAGGGTCATCATATCTGGATGAAGACCAGATATCTTTTTACTTTCCTTTTCTTTTTAAAGCTACTGTCTTCAAGTTTATTCTGACAGTAGAGTAAGATACTGGTCTGCCAGTGTACTATGTCTTTGCTATTAATGAAACAAGCTCAGATATTCTTTAACATTTGAATGATTTCGTATTATAAACTACAGTTGGGAGGCAAGGAAAACAAAAATAGTAAGTATGGGACAGTTACAAGGCTTTAGAAGTCTTACTAACTCCATTAGCCTTGTCTTTGGTTATACTGTTTTCTTAAAAAAACAAAAACAAAAAACTTTCTTCTTAAACCCCAGGCCATTTGTCTGTCATATTGCTATCAAAAGCATGGAGGCTCTCAAATTCCTAATCACACCTAACATGCAATTAAGGCGAAATAATTGTTATGAATTATTGGGTATTTATAAAAGACATTGCTTAAGAATCATTAGAGGAATTGATTTTATAGGTCTGAGGTGGAGAATTTTCACAAGCATACCCTATTGATTCTGAAATCCTGGTCTGTGGGACAGTCACACTTTGAGTAAGACTGCTAGACATTTGGAAATTCTTAATATAGAGTTGACAGTTGAGATTGTGGGAAATGGAGATCTTTGAGGAGGAAAGTGTGTGTGTGTGTGTGTGTGTGTGTGTGCACGCACACACACACACTTCCGCATACACACATACACACAGGGACAGACATGGAGGAGAGAGGGAAGGGAGGTAGAAGGACTAGGGATAGGAATGATTGAATTTCAGGGATAGAGCATGGAAGAAGAACCAAAGAAAGACCTAGAAAGGGAGCAGCCAAGCAGGTAAGAGGTGAGAGTAGTATGGTGTCATAGGGTATAGTTTCTAGGAGAGAGTGGTTTATTGGGTTCAGAAGATAAGGACTGAGAAAAACTGGGAATTCAGAGAGTTGGTGGGGTGGTCTGACTGAACTTCTGCTTTCTGTCTTCTTTGACTGGATTTTCTTTTTTAAGTCCATCTCAGATGTCTCCTAGCATGGTACTAACATCTTTTCTTTTCCCGGTCAACACACTCTGCCTAAGTGATTTCTTCCACTACTGTGCCTTTACATACCATGCGTTCAGTTCCCAGATTTATATCTCTAGGTCATCTCACTTCTGAGCTCCAGAATCACAAATCCAACTAACTGCCTACTTGACATATCCACTTGGATGTCTGATAAATATTTCAAACACACAGCAATTATGGAGCTACTGCTATAACCCAAGCCTTAGCTGATGGTGACTTGTACTAGAGAGAGATATCGCTGAAGATAAAGAGAAGTGGACAGATTTGAGAAAGACTTTAGAAGTATAGTAGAAGCAAAAAGATTTGCTTATGGATTAGGCCTGAGGATAAAAGGGAAGAAACAAATGATGTCTGGATCTACAGTTTTTGGTTTAAATATTCATGGCTGTGGCTGTGTCATATTCTGAGAGAGAGGACCAGGTTTGGGGAGGGAAAAGGAGGGAGGCCAATTGAGAATTTTGTTCTCCCTGTCTCATGACACTTCCATAATAGCTCTTGAACACAAACAACTCTCTCTCTCTCTCCACTCCACCTCTCTAGTCCTATCACCATCTGTTGCCTAGGCAACTGCAATGGCCTCTTAGCTGGTCTCTTTGCTTCCATTTCTGCCCTCTTCCAGTCTAGTTTGCATAGATCAGCCAGAATAATCTTTTTAGAACTAAACCAGATCATGTCAGTCTTCTGCCTAAATCCTTCAGTGGTTTCCCATTTTATTTGGAATAAAATGTAAACTCATTAGAAGTCTTTCAGGATCCTGTGTGATCTGACCCCTGCATCTCCCCCTCATTTCCTGTTATTTCTTTCCATTCACTATAAGCAGTACTGCCCTTTTAGTTTCTAAATCAACCACAAGATCTATCTTGCTTCAGGACTTGTGCTTTCTTTTTGTTGCTTACTGTTCTTTTTTCCTGGAGTGTTTTTCCTCTGCTTTTTCTTGATACTTACCAAGTCTAAAATAGATAGATTCCACTTATCCTTCTCTGTGAAACCACCCTATTTATTTCCTTACTGCACTTACTATGATTTGTAATTAGTATGTTGTCTTTATTTGCTTATTTAAATATCTGTCACTCCTGTCTGAATGTAAGCTCCATGAAGGCGAGGATTATGTCTGACTTGTTCACTGATATATCCTAGTATGTGCTTGAAATAGCAGGTATTTACATATTCTTAATGAATAACTGAGGATCAGCCTCAGTGATTTAGTATAATGAGTAGTGATTGGGGGAGGGAAGTTGTGGATGGAGGATGGGAAGAGAAATGAGGGGGCTTATTAGGGTGGAGGCTGATGTTAGAGTTCAGGCTGAATGTGGCATGGAGAAGAGGGTGTAAGAAATGCCACAGCAGGAATTCTGGGGGGAATTGGTGGTATTTGAGGTGTTAAAGGTTATGATGTTGACATAAGTGAAAGAACTGAACATTATGCTCAGTAAGGGGTTTTGGAAGATTAACAATAGAATTCCCCTATGACCCAGCAATAGCACTGCTAGGAATTTACCCAAGGCATACAGGAGTACCGATGCATAGGGGCACATGTATCCCAATGTTCATAGCAGCACTCTCAACAATAGCCAAAACATGGAAAGAGTCTAAGTGTCCATCATTGGATGAATGGTTCAAGAAGATGTGGTTTATCTATACCATGGAATACTACATGGCAATGAGAAAGAATGAAATCTGGCCATGTGTAGCAACATGGATGGAACTTGAGGGTATTATGATGAGCCAAATAAGTCAGGCAGAGAAGGAGAGTTACCATATGTTTGCACGTATAGGAGGATTAGGAGGAACGTAACGGAGGACTGTGAGGGAGAAGAAGGGGGGAAATAGCGACGGAGAGGGAGGGAGGCAAACCATGAGAGACTCTTGAATGTTGAGAACAAACTGAGGACTGATGGGTATGGGGGTGAGGGGAAGGGGGCCGATGGGCATGGAGGAGGGCACTTGTGAGGATGAGCACTGGGTGTTATATGGAAACCAACCTGACAATAAACTATTAAAAAAGGAAAAAAAAAGTAAGGGGTTTTGGAGTTTGAGAACATGGAGACATATCAGGTTTTGTGATGGTAGAACCAGGTTAGATGAGTCTCTGTTGTGTTCCTAGAACACCCTTTTCATACTTCTGTTGTATGCAGCATGTCTCAGGCTGTCCTCAGCATTGCCTGTTCACT